TCTGGCAAGGTCACAGACATTGGCGGGGTGACCCCAGACCTCGGCCGAATGGGGGTGGCCTAAGTCTCCGGTGGCCACCCACGGATATAGAGATTTATCAAGGGAGACATGAAGGGAGACAGCCCAGGAACCCGGAAACATCCACCCGGATAGGGATATATGAAGGGAGACATGAAGGGAGCAGGAACCCGGCAACGGCCACCCACGGATACAGATACATGAAGGGAGACACGCAGGGAGACAAGGGGAGACAGGAAGCCCAGGAACCCGGCAACCCACGGATAGGGATATGTGAAGGGAGACATGAAGGGAGACAAGGGGAGACCAAGCAACCCGGCAACGGCCACCCACGGATAGGGTTTTATGAAGGGACACAAGGGGAGACAAAGGGAGACAGGAAGCCTAGGCACCAGGCAACGGCCACCCACGGATAGAGTTTTATGAAGGGAGACATGAAGGGAGACAAAGGGAGACAGGAAGCCCAGGAACCCAGCAATGGCCACCCACGGATAGAGTTTTATGAAGGGAGACATGAAGGGAGGCCAAGGGAGACAAAGGGAGACAGGAAGCCCAGGAACCCGGCAACGGCCACCCACGGATAGGGATATATGAAGGGAGTTCGTCATTATTTCAGTTGCTGCCGTGGCTGTGGCAATGTCATGAACAACCTCTATGTGGATACAGAGGAAGTGCATTCGGCTGCAAAGTTTCTGGGCCAGACGGTTGATCTTCTGAAAGCCGACTCAGGAAAACTGGAGCAGAGATTTCGAGGCATCTTCCAGGGCTTGACCGGGTACTCAGCACTTTTTCGAAAACAGGTATCTTACTCCGGCTGCTTGTGTTATCGTGGGCAAGCGCATGACCCAGGAAATACCTTGCGCGCGATGGCTTTGGAGCTTCTGTTGCCTGGGTTGCGCAAAAAATATCCTTGGGGCGAAGAGAAGCTTGGTGACCTGGTCGTGGGCTTCTTTGGGTATGGTCTCCGGAATTTCTGGCCTCAGAAGACATGAATTTGCATCAGATCTCCTGGCTTCTTCAGTGTGGCGAGACCACTTTCCAGTGATCTGACTATGATCGCATTCTTGCATGGCTGGTTTTCTGGTGTGTGGATGCTTCCCAGAGCCACTGCTATACACAACCTTTCACAAGTGTGGCCCTGAGAACAGCTTCCCAATCGGGAAATGCGGGCCAAACTGGAAGAACAAGCTGATGAGGTGGGCAGGATTCTGATGCGTGAGTCAGAGTCTGAGGAGTCACCGGACACACATCTTGCACTAGATGAGGATGAGGATGAAGACGAAGACCAAGTCCTTGCAGCCAATGATGACCCAATGCACGGACATGGATTCGGTGACACTGAGGAGCAAGAGGAGCAGGAATACTTGAACATGTTTTTGTCCTCTGAATCTGAGGACGAGCACGCTCCGGCATGAAACTCCGACTCCTCAAATCCTGAAACTGATTTCTGAGGCTGTCGAGTCATTTTCGGTTGGTGACACAATCGGGCTATCTCTACCTGTCTGTCAGTGAATGAAACAACACGTTAACAGCTTTGCATTTCCTTGTAGAAACCTGATGGTGCTGTACAAGTATGAACCATGAGAAGAGTGCAACAGGAACCAGTGTGGGCACAGCACAGTCATCCAGTGGAACTCTGCCTGCCTGACGAATCTGTGTCGGTGCATAGGGCGGGAAACTGGCATCGCACATTTTTTTGCTACAGAAGTCCACCCCCAAGAACTTAACTTGTTACAATTACAAGAATGATTCCACAATTGAAAAGTCTTCGATTCTGTCAGGTTGTTTGCCACCAAAAGATTCTTCACAATGCAGCTGCAGCTGCCTGACCCTTGAGTGGAAGGCTGTGCATCCAGTGTTCCAAAGTTGCCTGCTGCTTGTGACGTGTTCCTTCCCCTGCAGCTATTTTCCTCAAGATCAAGTTGGTGGCTTCGTAAATATATTTATTGTGGTTTTGATTTTTCATGTCGAGTTCCAAGAAGCAGTGCTATGTGCAATCGCTTCAGTGCTACACGGACGAAAAGAGGTTCCTCAGCTGCATGCTGTTCCACTTTGAGGACTACTTGCCGGCATGGGACTACAAGCGCTTGGAGACGATCTCGCAAGACTGCAAATGCGATGTTGTGATTGTGGCGGAGTCCAAAGGCAGTGTGTCAGACGAATCTGCGCACTGCAAAAGCCAGTTGCCGGTCAAGCCGGCCTTCGAGTGATTGGAGCATGGATAGCTTGCGGTTGATTTTTCACCTCCGTGATTCGCACAGCCTAATTAATTAATCAACCATTTGCAGATCACTAGCTGCAACTGTTCCAGAGGATTCCAAAACGTTTCGATTGGGGGACAAATCTGTGGGAAAGCTGTGCTTTGCCGATTTGTCCTGTCTCGGCCGATGCTTCCTGCACAGCCCTACGTCGGTTAATAACCGATGGGACATTTTGCAACGCGTTACGTCGGTTAATTAACCGCTGGGACGTGGCATTAACCGCTGGGATGCTGCTGGGATATCAAATAACCGCTGGGATGTGGAATTAACCGCTGGGATTTTGAATTAACCGCTGGGATTAACCGCTGGGAGAAATAACCGCTGGGGTTCAATTAACCGCTGGGATTAACCGCTGGGAGAAATAACTGCTGGGATTAACCGCTGGGGCAATATACGCTGGGAGTAACTGATCGAGAAGCCCTATATATAAGTCGGCAGATACTGGTTGCCGAGCCAATTAATTCCTCCAAGCCCGAGCTCCGAAAGCCAGAGCAGGGCAATGCAGTTGTCGAGTGTGTGCAGAAGCCCCCCAAACCAGACAAGCGCGATGCAGTTGTCGAGTGTGTGCAGAAGCCCCGCAAGCCCAAGCACCGAGAGCCAGAGCCCCGCAAGCCCAAGCTTCGAAGCCCCGCAAGCCCAAGCACCGAGAGCCAGAGCAGTGCGATGCAGTTGTCGAGTGTGTGCAGAAGCCCCGCAAGCCCAAGCACCGAGAGCCAAAGCACCGAGAGCCAGAGCAGTGCGATGCAGTTGTCGAGTGTGTGCAGAAGCCCCGCAAGCCCACCGAGAGCCAGAGCCCCGCAAGCCCAAGCTTCGAAGCCCGAGAGCCAGAGCAAGCCCATGCACCGAGAGCCAGAGCAGTGGGTCGCAGCTGTTAAGAGCGTTATAGCGCGTTGTGCTTGTGTTTTGCGCGTGTGGCTGGTCAGGGTGCACGAGTGTACAGCTAATTAACCGCTTGTTTTCAGTCGGTCGGTCGGTTGGTTGATTGCTTGAAGGCTTGCTAATTAACGGCTTGTTTTCAGTCGGTCGGTCGGTTGGTTGATTGCTTGAAGGCTTGCTAATTAACCGCTTGTTTTCAGTCGGTCGGTCGGTTGGTTGATTGCTTGAAGGCTTGCTAACTAACCGCTTGTTTTCAGTCGGTCGGTCGGTTGGTTGATTGCTTGAAGGCTTGCTGTGCTTGTTCGCTTGGTCCGTTGTTGTGCTTGCATGCTTGGTTGCGACTCATGGCTTGGCGTGCTTGTTCGTTTGGTCGATCGGGTGCCTTGTTGCTTTGATTGGCCTGGCTTGTTGGTTGTGCGAAGCTGTATATAGATCATTTGAAGCCGTAGGTCTGTCGAGTCTGTACAGAAGCCCCACAATATGCCGTTGCAGCTGCGAAGAGCATTCAAGGCCGTAGGCACTCTGCCTCGCCCTATCCAGCCCGCACAAACCTCAACATTCTACATGGTCTCTGGAAGTCACGTGTCTATATCGGCCGGGAATTCAGGGGCCAGATACATTCTAACGCCGAAGCCACTGATCTATTATTTTGGCTCGCTGTGGGCCGCCTCTGCCATGTGCTTCTTTTAGCTGAGCATTTCAGGGTGAGCGCCCCCGGCCTGTGTACACTCACAATGATTCGCGATCCGTGTTGGGCTTTGGTGGCCGCAGGTGTACGCACGACCTCGAGCGAGGCCATACAAGCGCAGCGGAGTGCCGCCAAGGAGATCGCCATTGCTTGGGGTTGGGGTCCGGGGTTTTCAAGACCGGGTTTGGTGTGGGTTGAACTTTTGCTCGATGCTGCTTTTGCTCGATGAGGGTGGAGCCCTTCACGGGTTTTTGTGCCATGCTGCCGATACCAAATCGGCGGTTGCGCGAGCCCCTGCCTGATGTCGGGGCGTCTTTTATTCCCGAAACGCCTCCGAGCGTTCATGGGAATTGGCTGAAGATGAACGGGACGTGGTTCCGGGTCTTCACGCCGACGCCGCCAAGCCACGGCCCCGTGGGCGGAGTCATGATGCCGTTGGGAAGCCGAACTTCATGCATAGCCTCTTTCTGTCCCCATACTTCCTCGCCTGTGGACTTCCAAAAAAACAATCTGCCCAGCACAACTCCATCATCCATCCCCACGCCGACTTCACTCGTGGAGCTCCGGTACATGTGGCCCTACACGTGCCTGGGCTTTAAACTGCGGTCTGAGATCATTTTTCTCTCTCTCTCTCTCTCTCTCTCTCTCTCTCTCTCTCTCTCTCTCTCTCTCTCTCTCTCTCTCTCTCTCTCTCTCTCTCTCTCTCTCTCTCTCTCTCTCTCTCTCTCTCTCTCTCTCTCTCTCTCTCTCTCTGTCTGTCTCGTTCTCTCTCTGGCTACTGTGCCCCTCACCCTAACCCTTGCAAAACCAAGGGGACCGGGGCGCTACGAGCCTCCGGAGGCTGGTACTCCGCCTGAAGCATTCCTTCAGCTTCTTGGCAAAACCTAGCTCAAAACACCATAACTGTTGATGCACAAGAGTTGGATGTGAGCAGAAAGCTCTTACATGTGGAATAGGTGCAATGTATAGCTTGAGAGTGGAGCTCTGATGTGCACCGTGACGGTTTTTTTCTCTCAGGGAGGGCTACGATTTGCCCCTTGAGCCGTATGTTGTTTTGCCTGATGTGCATTGTGTACAACCAGCTTGCCAGGCGAACAACACAACAAGCACAGTTTGCAGGTCGTGAAAATAGTGTGCCAATTCGGAAGCCTTGTGCCATGGATAACGGAGGAGAACCGAACTACTCCAATGCCTTCCCTGACGTAAGCCCAGCTGAGATGCATCAACAGGGTATGAGCCCAAATCACGCAGATGCGACTGCCGCTCATGATGCGCAAGGTCATGCTGGAGACACCACAGTGGTGGCTGGTGGTCAGGGAGCAGCACAGGTGCAAGAGACGGAACTTGCTGTGAGGGCGATGGCGGTGGCAGTGGCCACGGACCAGAGCCCGAGTGGAAGCAACTGGCCTATGGATGGCCAAGCGGCCCCTGTGGGAGAGCCGACTCGCGGCCCCACGGAGGCGATGGGAGTGCCGTATGGGCAGATGAATGCGGCACAAGCCTCGTGGAGTATGATGGCGACGAGACGGACGGCCCCGGCTTGGATTCAGAGGTTGGGGGCTTTCTTTCAGGAGATGAGGGCGCAGCAGCCTGCCCCTATGTGGAATCCTTCGCCGCTCGGGTCGCCTCCAAGTGGTGGCCGAGCGATGGGATCACCGGAGTCAGAGCAAGGGGTGTGGATGAGCCAGGCCCACACGGATCGACCCCTACTGACCCGTGGTCAAAGGGAACAGCCTCAGAGAATGGAGCAACGTGCCCCGCTGCTTTATGGACACCAACAACGATACGAGGGGGAAGTGGTGGGAGTACGTATGAAGCGGTGCAAGATGAGGTCAGAAGACAGCTGCGTGATGTGGTGGAGCAGTTGGAGGCAGGAGGCCAGCGAGCTAAGGCGTGAAATGGGCGCTTGCAAGCGACCCGTGAGCTGGAGGATCAGAGACCTGAGCAATGGGCTCAGCCGCAAGGCCCGCCGCGAGCTTTGGGAGGGTACCTGGCAGGGGAGCTACGTCTTCAGAAGGACATACAGGGCCTTCTATGCCGAGGGCATCGGGCCTTGTTGGCAAGGACCTCTAGGCCAGCGGAGACTCCAACCTTTGCAGGATCTTCTACGAGCGGGGGATCGGGCTTGCAATCGGGTGCTACCACAACAAGTGTGCCGGCGCTGCCTACAGGATCTTCTACCAGCGGGGGATCGGGCTTGCAATCGGGTACTACCACAACCGTTGCTCCGAGTATGCCTGCAGGATCTTCTATGGGAGGGGGATCGGGCTTACAAGCAGCGAGCACTACAACGCCAACAAGCTCAGCCAGCGCAGTACCAATGACTCCTGGTCCAACTATGCCGACTTCCTCGGATCCAATGTCCCGTCTTAGAAGGTTTGGAGAAGGTGATGAAAGGGGGAACGAAGCCGGAGGAGTTGAGCAAGGTAGTCGAAGGACCGAAGTTGCCGGAGATTTCAGAGAGCTCTTCAGTGGACTTTGGGGATTGGCTGTATTGCTTGGAGCACACGATGGGAGACATCTCTACCAACAGTGCAGAGTGGTGGAAGTTGGTGGTGAAAGATGCTCAGGAGTACTACGACAAGTACCAAGCAGCAGACCAGTATGGAAGGCTTTCGATGAAGCCTGTGCCCTCAGCGGGCTTGAGGAGTCAAAGTGGATTCGCGTGGATCGGAGAGGGGCCTCAGTCCTTCTGGGGGCAGTTCCGGAGGATGTCAAGAAGGAGTTGATCGCTTCGAGGGCAAAGAGCACCTTAGATGTCCTGGCTCGGCTGATGGTGTTGTACCGGCCTGGAAGCGCGATGGAGAAGGGTCAGCTCCTGAAGAAGATAGAGACCCCAGAGCCTTGTACAACCACTCAGGATGCCGTGGAAGGCTTGAGGCAGTGGTTGAGGTACTACCAGAGGGCTAAGGACCTGAAGCTCAGCATTCCGGACCCCTTGAACCTGGTGAAAGCCTTGGATGGAATGCTGAAGAAGCCGGTGAGTTATCGGCTTTCGTATGAACCTCTTGCGCTATCACCTGAAGGTCGACTTTTTGCCCTCCGAGGACAACGTGCTGGCTATCCACCGGGCGTTCTTGGCGGAGTTTGAGCAAATGGGGTACAAGAAGAAGGCCAAGCAAGGAGGGGACCCTACGCCAGCTCCTCGTTTGCGGGCAATGGAAAAGGAGCAGCCACAGCTTCCCACGCTGCCGGTGAAGGATGGCAAGGGAGGACAAAAGCCGTGTCGCTTCTACCTGTCCGATGAGGGTTGCAGGAGGGGAAAAGGCTGTCGTTTCGAGCACACCATGAAGGACCTTTCAAAAGCTGAGCGACGAGATCGCTGCTATGAGTGTGGAGCAAAAGGGCATTTGTCGGCCTCTTGCCCTACCAGAAAGGAGCCACAGCAAAGGGCCTTGGGAGTTGGGGACTCGCCTCAGTCCTCTACGGGGGGCACCAATGGGAGAAAAGGGGGCGGGAGCGCGAAGGGTCCAAAAGGCGCTGGGGCAGAGGAAGCCGAAGCAACCAATGCGGTCCCAGCGGAAGTGGCGGCTACAGCGACACCGTCCGGAGATACACCGGTCCAAGGAGTTCCAGTTGAACAGCTTCTGGAGGATGCCCAAAGGTTGATGAAGGCCTTTATGGAGCAGAAGAGCGGACCTCAGGTGAAGGTGTTCCGGGTTGAAGATGTGAAGACGCCTGAGTTGCAGGAGACGCCGGCCCTGAAGGAGCTCATGAGGACTGAGGGGGAGTTCGTCTCTGTTTGCCGCATGGGGTTGTTGGACTCAGGAGCGACGCACCCGCTTCGCCCAAGGACGGAAAAGATGAAGTCAGCGAAGCAGGCAAGGTCAGCGTGACGTTGGCTGGGGAGAACACAAGGTAGAGATGCAGCAGTCGAGGTCGGGAACAATCCTGGGCTCGGAAGGAACCCAAGCAATCGTGCCCCTTGGCACCGTGGTGAAGCAGTTGGGCTACGAGTTTGGGTGGAACCGGCGTGGGTGTTTCCTTCGCCATCCGGACAAAGGCGAGATCCGGGTGTATACCAGGTCAACGTGCCCGGAGATTCTGCAGAAGGATGCTTTGCGACTCATTGGCGAGCTGGAAGAAGCGAAGCTGGCAGAAACCATGGAGTCGTTGGCAACGCTAAAGGCGGCGGTGGCAGCTGCCCGAGGGCATACACAGTGGACCTGGAAGGATGCCATCAAGGAGTACGTGAGTGCGGGGGAACAAGAAGCTGGAGTCCGTGCGGTTTTGGCTGCACCCTTTATGCATCATGTACCAATGGAGGACCAGTTGAAGATCATGGCCGCTATCCCAAGCTCGAGCGAGGAGGCGTGGAAATGGATGAAGTCGTTCCCGCTCAATCGAGCAAAGAGGAGGCAGTTATGGCAGGCTCCGGAGTGGGTTGTCCATATGTTCTCGGGAAAGGGTGTGAAGAACGACCCGTTGAGAGAAGTGCAAGGACTCCTCGAGATAGACCTACAGAGAGGATGGAACCTCAACGACGACAAGATCTACGGCGTGTTGCTGTGGGCCGCGTTGAACAAGAAGATCAAGCATGTGGTGGGAGGACCCCCGGGGGGAACCTTCTCGCCATACCGTTACCGCGACGGAACTGAAGGGCCGAGGCCGGTTAGATCGAACCACGAGCCCTGGGGTCTACGAGAAGGCCTGGGTGTGGACGAGTCTGCAAAGGTGAAGAATGAGAACCGCATGCTGCTACGTATGGTGTGGCTGTGGGCCTTTGCGGAAGCGGCTCAGGATGACCCTGAAGTTCCAGGACACAAGGTGGGCTTCTGCTTGGAGTTCCCAGAGGACCCCAGGGAGTACTTGCCAGATGGTCCCCAGAAGTCACAGTGTGTGTCTATGTGGAGGATGGAGCTCGTGCAAGTCACCCACTTTGAGAAGGTGCAGTTTGAGCAAGGAGCCTTGGGACATATGTTGCGGAAGCCCGCATGCTGTTTGACAAACTTGCGCTTGGGAATCCATGGCGTGAGGGACTCGAGAGCGTGGGTCAGTGCAGATGGTGCCGATCCAGACCAGTCGGTATGGCCACACGGCTTCAGACTCACTTTGGCAGATGCAATCCATGAGTGGAACATTGTGGGTGGGGGAGTCGCGTTGAAAAAGGCCATGACAAAGACTGAGCTGGAAGAGTGGAGAAACCATTTGGATCGAGGACATTGGCCTTATCGCAGAGACTGCTCTGTTTGCTTAGCGGCCTCAGGGACGGGAAGACCGGCCAGACGAGTGGTTCATCGAGACGCATATGTTCTGAGCCTGGACATAGTGGGTCCTTTTGCAGATGTTGGACGAGATGAAGTTCGAGGGTGTCGGTATCGTTTTGCCCTTGCCGCGACCTACCTGTACCCCAAGATCCGGGAAGTGCCAGAAGATGCGCCGATCCCAGATGAGGAGGAGGCGGAGAAGTTCCTGGCAGAGGAGGAGGATCAGCCTGAGGATGGGGAGCAGGGACCAGAGGACCCGGACGCCGACGCACAGGAGGAAGAATGGAAAAAGAAGGTGGAGGACTTGAGGCGCCCTATGGAGATGCAGGCGCTTCGCTTTGTGGTCCCGTTAGAGCGACATCGCGGAAAGGAGGTCCTCGAGGCGGTCCAAGAGCTCTACATACGCATCCGTACTCTTGGCTTGCCTATTGTTCGGCTTCATTCGGACAGGGCGAGAGAGTTCAGAGTGAAACCACTCAGGCGGTGGTGTCGTGACAGAGACATCTACCAAACATACACAGAAGGACTGGCCCCGTCCCAGAACGCCGCAGCCGAAAGCCACGTGAAGTGGTTAAAGGGGAAGGCCAGGCTACATCTTCAAGATGCTGAACTCGACAAAGAGCTTTGGCCGTGTGCAATGAAGCATGCATGCAAGCTTCACAATGCAAGGGAGCTTGGCGAGAAGGCCCCAGAGATCAGGTTTGGAGCTGTGGTGTGGGTGAAGTCCAAGAAGGACCGTGGACCTTTTGACCCAAGATGGGAGCGTGGGGTTTACATGGGTCCAGCAGACGACGTTCGTGAAGGACATGTGGTGAGGTTGGACGATGGTCTTTGGTTACGCACGTTGCATATGAGGACGGTGCGTGATGATGAAGTGGAGGACGAGGACGACGAGGAGTTTGTCGTGGACCTGGTGGAACCAACAAGGAGACTGCGGAGGAAGACAAAGTTGGCCGACCCAGAGTTGAGGGCCCTTGATGTGAAAGGCCGAAAAGCTTTGGTGGAGCGGCTGCTTGCCTCAAGCATTTGGGAGTCGCCAGAAGCAAAGGTGGAGAGACCACAGATGAAGGATGGGGATGCTTGGGATGGTGCTGCCTACGTGAACCTGGGAGCCTACCAGCACGGAGGTATTACCAGTATCACGGTTGCGACGGAGAAGTTTGCCCAGGAGGCGGAGTGGGCGGCCACACTATTGAGCATCGACCACCCAGGCAAGGTTTTCACATCGGTGGCCTTGGTGAAGAATGCCACAATGCCCCTACACGAGGATGCCTTCAACCTTAAGTCCACCGTGAACCTGGTTTCGCCGCTAAGGGTTTCCAAAGGAAGCTGTGTGTGGCAGGAGTTGAAGCCGGGAGATGAGTTTTATGGGAAGTATAAGTCTATGTGGTTCAAGGAGAAGGAAGTCCCGGGACAGTTGTTCAGTGTGGAAAAGCCAACAACAGTGCGCCCGGACAGACTTCATGCACCTCTTCGTGGAGAAGAAGGAGACCGAGTCGTGATCATCGGTTACACCGTCAGCAAGTGGCCTGCCTGAGGATGTTTGGACACAGGCCACCGGCACCACCAACCCCTATGGACTCGGATCAGGTCTCTACGATGGTGCCGGCAACGGGGACTACGGCGGTGTCAGGCTCCAGCTTCTTGGGGCCGGGATCTTCCAGTGAATCGACGTTGCAAAGGCCCCCTACTGAGGAAGGTATGGAGGTGAGCTCGGGAACGGCGCCAATGGGGCCAGTTTCGAGTTCATCGGCGAGCTCAGGAAGGCGACCAGAGAATTTCCCTGAGTTCAGTGGAGAGAGAATGGACACAACAGTCCTTCCCGGTGGAAGGATTGAGCTCAGGCTTCGTTGGGCGATAAGGTACTGCCCGGAGGGGAGCCAAGAGAATGTGGTGATGACTTCGACTCCTCTTATGCCCTTGGGTCACGATGAGGAGGAGCACCTGAGGAGGAGGGTGTCGTGGCTCTCGGACCTTGTGGAGGAAGAAAGGCAGGTGCGCCGAGCCAAGGAAGCCCGTGGGGAGTATGCGAGCCAGAGAGAGCGGCAGATGTTCTACAAGCTAGACGAGGCCATTGACTACATGAACGAGCTGCTCGACAACACGAGACAACAGAACAGGGTGAACCTCATGAGAATGGCGGTTGGCAGCAGTGCTTCCGAGAACGTGGAGGAGATGTTGCAATCGTTGGGAAAACCCTTGGAGACGGTCCATACGGTGGACCTACAGGAAGTCAAGAGACACTTACAGGAGTGGACTCCCAGCATCGCCAAGGAGGTCCAGACTTTGGAGGGATCAGGAACGCTGCGAGGGCTTCCCCTTCAAGAGGCCAAGGAGAGGGCAGCTCGGGGAGAGCTGGTTTTGGTTCCGGCCAAGACTGTCCACACAGTGAAGCCCCCAGGTGAAGGAGATGGGCCGTTCGAGGATAGTGATCTGTGGGAACTACATTCACAACGAGGTGGAAGTGTACACGGCTTCAGCCAATGCCGAAAGCGTGAGATGCTCGTTGTCCTATGGGGCGAAGAGGAAGTGGCATGGAGCAGTGACCGACGTGAACTCGGCCTTCACCCTAACACCTATGACGGAGTCTAAGGTCCGCTACGCGATCACCATGCCGAAGGTTGTGGTGGATGCGGGGTGTGCCCCGCCAAACACAGCTTACTCGGTGGACCGAGTGTTGTACGGACTCAGAGAGGCGCCGCGGTTGTGGGGAAGTTTTAGGGACCGAAGGATCAGCCGTGCCAAGTTGAAGGTCGGGGACAAACAGTGTGTGTTCCTGCAGATGGAGACGGACCCAGCGGTTTGGAGATTGGTCGAGATTGGCAACGAATCCCATACCCTCGCGATGATGATAGTTTACGTCGATGACGCCATGATGTTGGGCCCGGTGGACATTATCAATGTGATGTACGAGTGGCTTACAAAAGGCACCGAAGAAGAGGGAGGGTGGAAGTGCTCGCCTTTGGAGTGGTTGGGGAAAGAGCCAGTCCGTTACCTGGGGATGGATGTGAGGAGAAAAGAGTTGGGGGATATAACCAGCTTTCATATCTCACAGGGAAGTTACGTTGCGGAACTTCTCAGGAACTACCCAGAAGAGGCGGCAAGGCCTTCGCAGGTGCCAGCAACCAAGGAGAGTATGCCACAGAACGAGGAAGTCGATGAGGAGGAGGTGGTTGTGTTTGACGGCGACTTGGTGAAGCAGGCCCAAAAGATGGCGGGTGAGCTGTTGTGGTTGCTCACGAGAACAAGGCCGGATGTGGGGTTTGCCACAGCCCATGTTTGCAGCGCAGCCACCAAGGACCCCAACACGGCGATTCGGCTGGCCAAGATGACAATGAGGTATTTGGCGGCTACTCCTACGATGGGTTTGTGCTACGATGGTCAAGGTGGTCCTGTGGTCGCTTACTCGGACGCAAGCTTCGCGCCACAGGGAGACCGGAGTTTTGGGTGTGTTACCACGGCTACCTATGGGGGTTTCGCGGCGTGGAGGATGACAAAACAACCCACAATAGCTCTTTCGGCTGCCGAGGCTGAGTTGGTGGAGTTGGTGAACGCAAGCCAACAGGCTGCTGGGCTTCAGGCGTGGGTGAATGAAGTTTCCACAGAAGACATGGAAGAGCCAATGGTCTTAAGGGTGGACAACACTGCGGCCTGTGGTTTGGCAACGACTTCACCGGGTTCGTGGAAAACTCGGCATCTAAAGGTCAAGGCACGACACCTCAGAATGGAGACCAGCGAAGGGAGGATTCATGTGGTCCACACCCCGGGCGAGGTCCAGGTGGCGGATATGGGGACGAAGCCAGTTCCAGTTGCAAGGCTGGTGGAGTTACGAAGGCTGTGGGGTATGTGCACGGCAGAGGAGTTTGAGAAAAAGGACCAGGAGGTGATCATCAAGTCGTTGCAAGGCCCTGAGTACTATGACTTGCTGAGGATGTTTGTGTGGCTCATGATGATGAACAACCTGCCAGTGGTCGAGGCAGCGGATGTCTATCACAAGAAGCCCTTGGACTACGATGGTAGTTTTGAGTTCTATGGGCTGTTGTTGATCGGTGGAGTTGCCTTGCTTGGAATCTGGGAGACGCTGAAGTGGGTTGCACACAAGATCTTTGGAGATGATGAGATGACCCTGGCAAAGGCCCGGAGGCTCATGAGGATCCGGAATCAAGCGTCGAGGGCGCTTCAAGAGGAGCTTGCTTCAATGAGTGCGAGTTCCGCGGATCCAATGTATGAAGAAAAGCCAAAGGTGTTGATGGGTGGGACTAAGGCGATGCCGGCGGAGCCTTTGGGGGTGGCTGCTACATCTAGCGAGGTGTCTACCACTCCGGCTACAACGAGGGCGATGCCTGCCACGCCAGCTACGTCCAGTGCAGCGCCTACTACACCTGTGGTTCCCAGTGCGGTACCTACAACAGCTGCATTTAGTGCAGCAGCAAGGGCGGAGGATGATCCAGATCTCAGAGCTGCGTTGGAGCAGGCGCAGAATGGGCAGTATCGTCGCTTGAGGAAGAGCTTCGTGATGTCTGAGCATGGGGATAGGCTCCATGCAGTTCCGAACTGTCATGGGTTGAGACATGCCAACAAAACCAGGTTGAAACAGATGCAAGTTTGCTATTATTGTGATGGCAACTTCCCTCTCTACTACAAGGTGACGCGTGGTCAAGTCCTTCCAGAGGGATGAGGTGCATCAGGAGTGCGCTTGGAGTGCCGACACACCAACCGAGGAGGAGTGTTGATGCACAAGAGTTGGATGTGAGCAGAAAGCTCTTACATGTGGAATAGGTGCAATGTATAGCTTGAGAGTGGAGCTCTGATGTGCACCGTGACGGTTTTTTTTGCTCTTAGGGAGGGCTACGATTTGCCCCTTGAGCCGTATGTTGTTTTGCCTGATGTGCATTGTGTACAACCAGCTTGCCAGGCGAACAACACAACAAGCACAGTTTGCAGGTCGTGAAAATAGTGTGCCAATTCGGAAGCCCTGTGCCATGGATAACGGAGGAGAACCGAACTACTCCAATGCCTTCCCTGACGTAAGCCCAGCTGAGATGCATCAACAATAACCCTAAAACCGTTAAAGCCACCTAAGGCCAAGGACGCCCTTGTCCATGATGAATGTCACGTCGCTTGGCATTTCCTGGCTCTGTCTCGTTCTCTCTCTGGCCACTGCATGTGCCCCTCACCCTAACCCTATAACCGAGGAGGCCTGGCGCCCTGCCTGAGACTCCGCCCGAAGCTTTCCTTCAGCTTCTTGGCAAAACCTAGCTCACAACACCATAACCCTAAAACCGTTAAAACCACCTAAGGCCAAGGACGCCCTTGTCGATGATGAATGTCACGTCGCTTGGCATTTCCTGGCTCTGTCTCGTTCTCTCTCTGGCCGTGCCCCTCCCCCTAACCCGGGCCTTCAACCCTAATTAACCGAGGAGACCGGGGCGCTACCAGCCTCAGACTCCGCCCGAAGGTTTCTTTCGGCTTCTTGGCAAAACCTAGCTCAAAACACCATAACCCTAAAACCGTTAAAACCACCTAAGGCCAAGGACGCCCTTGTCGATGATCAATGTCACGTCGCTTGGCAGTTCCTGGCTCTGTCTCGTTCTCTCTCTGGCCGTGCCCCTCACCCTAACCCGGGCCTTCAACCCTAATTAACCGAGGAGACCGGGGCGCTACCAGCCTCAGACTCCGCCGGAAGGTTTCTTTCGGCTTCTTGGCAAAACCTAGCTAAACACCATCTCCCTAGCTAAAACCGTTAAACTAGAAGACAATTGGCCCGAAAGCATCATCAGCGAAGAGTGTGGGGCTATGTGATAGATCCAGTGTGTAGGATCGTATGCAGATACAGTCAAGAGTCATGGAGTCCATGAGTCATGAGTCATAAAGTCAAAGAGTTACAGTGAGATAGCGTCATAGAGTCATAGTGAGATCAAGTCACAGAGTCATGGAGTCATCTATGTAGCATGCACTTGACTCGATGTAGTTCACTCTATGCTCTATGTGTGGGAACGCTTAATCGAGATCCCCGTAGCGTGGTGGCTCATAGCCCGACCGGGACCTCGAGATGCAGATACAGTCAAGAGTCATGGAGTCTATGAGTCATGAGTCATAAAGTCATAGAGTTACAGTGAGATAGCGTCATAGAGTCATAGTGAGATCAAGTCACGAGTCATGGAGTCATCTATGTACCATGCACTTGACTCGATGTAGTTCACTCTCTGCTCTATGTGTGGGAACGCTTAATCGAGACCCCCGTAGCGTGGGGGCTCATAGCCCGACCTGGACCTCGAGATGCAGATACAGTCAAGAGTCATGGAGTCTATGAGTCATGAGTCATAAAGTCATAGAGTTACAGTGAGATAGCGTCATAGAGTCATAGTGAGAGCAAGTCACGAGTCATGGAGTCATCTATGTACCATGCACTTGACTCGATGTAGTTCACTCTATGCTCTATGTGTGGGAACGCTTAATCGAGATCCCCGTAGCGTGGGGGCTCATAGCCCGACCTGGACCTCGAGATGAAGATACAGTCAAGAGTCATGGAGTCTATGAGTCATGAGTCATAAAGTCATAGAGTTACAGTGAGATAGCGTCATAGAGTCATAGTGGGATCAAGTCGCAGAGTCATGGAGTCATCTATGTAGCATGCACTTGACTCGATGTAGTTCACTCTATGCTCTATGTGTGGGAACGCTTAATCGAGACCCCCGTAGCGTGGGGGCTCATAGCCCGACCTGGACCTCGAGATGCAGATACAGTCAAGAGTCATGGAGTCTATGAGTCATGAGTCATAAAGTCATAGAGTTACAGTGAGATAGCGTCATAGAGTCATAGTGGGATCAAGTCACAGAGTCATGGAGTCATCTATGTAGCATGCACTTGACTCGATGTAGTTCACTCTATGCTCTATGTGTGGGAACGCTTAATCGAGATCCCCGTAGCGTGGGGGCTCATAGCCCGACCTGGACCTCGAGAGGCACATACAGTCAAGAGTCATGGAGTCCATGAGTCATAAGTCATCAAGTCATAGAGTTACAGTGAGAGTAGGCCGCCACGTTGCTTGCTCGCTCTTTCGCAAGACAGCGTCGAAGCAAGCAAGCAACGGTGCAACCTAGCCAGAGCGAAGAATTCGCGGCCCGCACGGCTCACCGTGGAGTCAAGGGCCGCGCGGCCTGAGGAGGTGCCGGGAGAGGTCATCCCAGGGATTACGGCGGTCCGGAGCCTCATGAAAACTGCTGATTGTAGTTGCAAAGGTTCATCGGGAGCCCCGAGCCTCCATAGCACGCATTATACCAACCCAAGGTATAGTATTATGGAAGAAGAAACATAGCGGCAGCTGAGGAACATCCCCAAACGGAAGTCGCAACACTGGTCTCTGAAAGTAGCAGGGAATTAGGGTTTCGCTCTTCATCTCAAACCACAAGAGGCCAGCGTATGTTTCTTAGCCGACCCAACAGACTCCAGGGGAACGCCACGGGCTTAGGGGTCCTTATTTCGTGTCTACTCACCCCGGATAATCCACGAGGGCCTAGTAGGACTAATGCAGGGATCACGGTGGTCCGGAGCCTCCTCTAGAAAGATTGATTCTAGCTGCAGACATTCATCGAGAGATCCAGGCTTCGGTGACACCCTGTGTATCAACCCTTGGTATACTATCTCAGAAGAAGAAACCCGGCGGCATCTGGCAAACATTCCCAAGCGGCAGTCACAACACGGGTCTCTCAAAGGATGATTGGGGATTTAAGATCTATCCTATACCACAAACGGGTCCACCTCGCTGAGCCGCTGCGCGACTCGTGCTGCCGGGAGTCCAGCAGCGGAAGGCAGTGCAGCCATTAGGGATTTGGGAAGACACCGTTCCGAAGTGAAACACCCCACTTCACTAGGAAACCCGCCAGATGCCGCGAAGTATTTAACCCGCCAAGCAATCGAGGAGCTCCTGCGTCTCGATGAACCTTTATCTGCTCACAGGATGTCGCGGCCAGGAGATGAACCGAGGCATTGGGACTCACTACGCTTCCGCCGCACCAATGTACCAATGCGAGCACTTGAAGTTGCCGTTGATGGTTCGCCCATCATAGTTCTCGCTCGGCAGCCTTCGGTTGTCAATCGGCCTGAGATGTCCACGGTACCTCACGACTTCATGGTGGAATTCTGCACATCGGCTGGATCTGTTGACGCATCCATAGTCTTGATGTTCACATCTGCTTGATGTTGGGCTGGATTTGTTGACGCATCCATAGTCTTGATGTTCACATCCGCTCGATGTTGCAACGGCAACTGCAACATGTCCACGCTTGCTTCATAAATGCACGCTTCGTGCAATGCGTTGTCTCTGTAGCACACACACACACCCATACAACTGGTTCGGGGGAGTTCGGAGGATCAAGTGAGACCACAGAAGCCTTCGATTTGACTTCCATCTATGCAAAACAACAGACCTTACACTGCATCACGAAGAATTTCGGAGTCGGGTTGAAGGTGGAGGGCCAGCGCGGGAGGAACCTGGACCTAGACTAGGCTACGGCTACTCTTCCCAGGCGACCCTCCCCGGCCTTCGTCGTCACGTACCCGGCTTTCCGAGTAATTTCTGAAGCTGCTCACGAAGGTTGCCAGCCTAGAAACAACAAGCAAGCGCTTTCCTTCCTATGGCGGCTACGTTGCTTGCTTGCTCTTTCGCAAGACAGCGTCGAAGCAAGCAAGCAACGGCCCAAGCGACCGTCTCGGCCTGGACCAAGTGGGAGACCAGCATCAGAGAGGCGGCCTGGTGAGGTGCTGGGAGAGGTCTCATACACAGATTACGGCGGTTCGGAGCCTCGTGAAAACGGCTGATTGTAGTTGCAAAGGTTCATCGGGAGCCCCGAGCCTCCATAGCACGCATTATACCAACCCAAGGTATAGTATCATGGAAGAAGAAACATAGCGGCAGCTGACGAACATCCCCAAACGGAAGTCGCAACACTGGTCTCTGAAAGTAGCAGGGAATTAGGGTTTCGCTCTTCATCTCAAACCACAAGAGGCCAGCGTATGTTTCTTAGCCGACTATATATATATATATATATATTTATGCATTTATGCATATATATATATGTGTATATTAGTATATTATTCTTATCGATATATGCATTTGCCAATCCTGCCAATCCCTCTGAAAGGTTGCCAATTCACCTGTTGCACACCTACCGATTAGAACAATCGAAGAAGCAAATCCCTCTCAAGCCAATCCCTGTGAAGGGTTCCGCGAGCACCGCAAAATGTCTAACTTCACCTCGCGTTCAAGCACTCGACAACGCCAATCCGTGTGAAGGGTTGCAAAATTCATCTCAATGCACATCAGAAATTGCAACTTTACCTCGCGTTCGAACACTCGACCACGCCAATCCCTGTGAAGGGTTGCAAAATGCCAATCCCTGTGAAGGGTTGCAAAATGCAGTTGAGCTGCGCCCAAACCCTGTGAAGGGTTGCGCGGCGCCCGCAAAATGTGTAACTTTACCTCGCGTTTGAACACCCGAGGAGGCGAATCCCTGTGAAGGGTTGCGCGGCGCCCGAAAAATGTGTAACTTTACCTCGCGTTTGAACGCCCGAGGCAGCGAATCCCTGTGAAGGGTTGCACGGGCACCGAAAAATGTGTAACTTTACCTCGCGTTTGAACGCCCGAGGCAGCGAATCCCTGTGAAGGGTTCACCCGGG